AAAAACAGAGTAGGGGAGTTAGTAGATGGGGAAGGGAGGTATTAGGTAGATGGCAAAGAATATTTTGAGGAACTTTTAAATGTTGAGGAAGAAAGGGAGGCAGTAATTTCATGCACTGGCCAGGGAGGAAAATAACCATCTTTTAGGAGTGAAGAAGAGCAGAATGTATGTGTGGTGGAGGTACGTGAGGCATTACGTAGAATGAAAGGGGGTAAAGCAGCTGGAAACTGATGGGATCATGACAGAAATGTTAAAAGCAGGGGGGATATAGTGTTGGAGTGGTTGGTACTTTTGTTTAATAAATGTATGAAAGAGGGGAAGGTACCTAGGGATTGGCAGAGAGCATGTATAGTCCTTTATATAAAGGGAAAAGGAGGACAAAAGAGATTGTAAAAATTATAGAGGAATAAGTTTACTGAGTATACCAGGAAAAGTATACGGTAGGGTTATAATTGAAAGAATTAGAGGTAAGACAGAATGTAGAATTGCGAATGAGCAAGGAGGGTTCAGAGTGGGGAAGGGGGTGTGTAGATCAAGTGTTTACATTGAAGCATATATGTGAACAGTATTTAGATAAAGGTAGGGAAGTTTTTATTGCATTTATGGATTTAGAAAAGGCATATGATAGTGGATAGAGGAGCAATGTGGCAGATGTTGCAAGTACAGTGGACCCCCGCATAACGATTACCTCCGAATGCGACCAATTATGTAAGTGTATTTATGTAAGTGCGTTTGTACGTGTATGTTTGGGGGTCTGAAATGGACTAATCTACTTCACAATATTCCTTATGGGAACAAATTCGGTCAGTACTGGCACCTGAACATACTTCTGGAGTGAAAAAATATCGTTAACCGGGGGTCCACTGTATATGGAATATGTGGTAAGTTACTAAATGCTGTAAAGAGCTTTTATGAGGATAGTGAGGCTCAGGTTAGGGTATGTAGAAGAGAGGGAGAATACCTCCCGGTAAAAGTAGGTCTTAGACAGGGATGTGTAATGTCACCATGGTTGTTTAATATATTTATAGATGGGGTTGTAAAAGAAGTAAATGCTGGTGTTCAGGAGAGGGGTGGAATTAAATTATGGGGAATCAAATTCAAAATGGGAATTGACACAGTTACTTTTTACTGATGATACTGGCTTTTTGGGAGATTCAAAGAAAAATTGCAAAGGTTAGTGGATGAGTTTGAGAATGTGTGTAAAGGTAGAAAGTTGAAAGTGAACATAGAAAAGAGTAAGGTGATGAGGGGATCAAATGATTTAGATAAAGAAAAATTGGATATCAAATTGGGGAGGAGGAGTATGGAAGAAGTGAATGTTTTCAGATACTTGGGAGTTGAAGTGTCGGTGGATGGATTTATGAAGGATGAGGTTAATCATAGAATTGATGAGGGAAAAAAGGTGAGTGGTGCGTTGAGGTATATGTGGAGTCAAAAAACGTTATCTATGGAGGCAAAGAAGGGAATGTATGAAAATATAGTAGTACCAACACTCTTATATGGATGTGAAGCTTGGGTGATAAATGCAGCAGCGAGGAGACGGTTGGAGGCAGTGGAGATGTCCTGTCTAAGGGCAATGTGTGGTGTAAATATTATGCAGAAAATTCGGAGTGTGGAAATTAGGAGAAGGTGTGGAGTTAATAAAAGCATTAGTCAGAGGGCAGAAGAGGGTTTTTTGAGGTGGTTTGGTCATTTAGAGAGAATGGATCAAAGTAGAATGACATGGAAAGCATATAAATCTATAGGGGAAGGAAAGAGGGGTAGGGGTCGTCCTCGAAAGGGTTGGAAAGAGGGGGTAAAGGAGGTTTTGTGGGCGAGGGGCTTGGACTTCCAGCAAGCGTGCATGAGCGTGTTAGATAGGAGTGAATGGAGACGAATGAAACTTGGAACCTGACGATCTGTTGGAGTGTGAGCAGGGTAATATTTAGTGAAGGGATTCAGGGAAACCGGTTATTTTTATATAGTTGGACTTGAGTCCTGGAAATGGGAAGTACAATGCATGCACTTTAAAGGAGGGGTTTGGGATATTGGCAGTTTGGGGGGATATGTTGTGTATCTTTATACGTATATGCTTCTAAGCTGTTGTATTCTGAGCACCTCTGCAAAAGCAGTGATAATGTGTGAGTGTGGTGAAAGTGTTGAATGATGATGAAAGTATTTTCTTTTTGGGGATTTTCTTTCTTTTTTGGGTCACCCTGCCTCGGTGGGAGACGGCCGACTTGTTGAAAAAAAAAAAAAAATCCAGTAAGCATCCAGCTGGTTGGTCTAATACGTGTTCACAAATGTGCTGACATTATTTATAAAAATATTAGAATAATGAAATAGTCTGCACAACAGTAAATCTATTTTTTGTGTGAATAAATTCAAAATGGAAAGCAATTGTATTATAGGTGAGGCCTGGGGATGTAACTAATGAACAAGAGAAATGTTTTAGTGCTTGGAATGTCTACATTGTTTATTCTGAACCCTATTCTTAAAATGGCAATTTTTTAATTTTGTGTGAAATTGGCCAAATTACCAATTTCTGATCAATTTATTGGGTAGTTGAAATAGTTTAATGGGCATTTTCTTGTGCTCGATCGATAGAATGGAAGGCATATTAGCAAAGTAGCTAAAAGTTTGGTCAACCGGATCAATGGAATTGGTCTAAAATAGGACTCAAAATGGGCAAAATTGCCAGTGTGTAAATGTCAGCAAAACCACTGACTTCGCAACGATGTAATTCAGTAAGTTTTCGATAAATTTTGTACTTTTGGTTTCATTACCTTCGGAAAAAGATTATCTTATTTCATAGGATTTTTTTTTTTTTTTTTTTTATTAATTTTTTTTTTATTTTTTTTGACAGCAATTTTCAGATCAGGGGTCTAGACCCTGAAAGGGTTAAGTTCAAACACCGAGGCTCCACTGTATTCAGCTAGGAAGATGTATGGGAAAGTCTCCTACCTGCTTCTGCCTCTGTAATATTATATAATCAACATAGCACTAATACTTTGAGAGGTTAAAGTGTGCTGTTTCCCTGCTGACTCTGGCTTCTCTTTGGCCAAAGCCTGAAGTATTACTTTATTTCCAAATGAGCATGCTATTATTGCATAAAGAATACAAAATGCAAGTTATACAGACAATTCAGATATGTATTGAACATTTAAATATACAGTGCTACATGTACTCTAGAATCTCTCTAACCCTTTGAGGGTCGACAGGCCCTCTCTGAGACTCGTCCTCAGGGTCGGCCAAATTTAAAAAAAAAAATTCTTATGAAAAGATAGAGAATCTTTTCCCGATCATAATGACACCAAAAGTATGAAATTTGATGAAAAACTTGCGGAATTGTGCTCTCGCAAAGTTAGCGGTCTCGGCGATGTTTACGCATCGGCGATTTTGCCCACTTTGAGCCCCATTTTCGGCCAATTCCACTGTACTAGTCGACAAAAAACATGAATATTTCGCTAGAACTCCATTTTTTCTATCGAATGAGTGCAAGAAACCACCCATTTACCAATTTCAACTATCCAGTACAGTGGTCAGAATTTAGCAATTTTGCCAATTTCACACAAATTTCAAAAGATGCCAATTTCCGAATAGGGTCCAGAATAAACAAGAAAGACATTCCTGGCACTAAAATGACATTTCCTCTGTTCATTAGTCACATCTCAAGGCCCCTCTTACATTCTTTTGCTTTCCACTTTGAATTTTTATTCTCACAAAAAATAGAAGATTTACTGTTATGCAGACTACTGCATTAGTGTAAAAAATGGTATAAATAATATTGGCACACTTGCGAAAGAATATTAGACTCACCAGTTGACGTGCATTGGACGCTTGGCAAGATTTGTTTACTTTTGAACTTTGGTAAAAATCAAACATTTCTGCTACTTTGAGCTCAATTTCAAGGTACTTTTCATTGTAAAACCAGTCAAAATCATCTCAATTTCTGTAATATGTCTTCCATTCTATAAAATGAGACCAAGAAAACTAGAATACAACAATAAATACCATACGAAAATACAGTGCAAAGTCGCTGTTTTATTCCAAAAAAAAGGTCAAAGTTTTTTTTTCTCATTATGCACTGTGTGCTGCAGGATTTTTTTATACTGTGCACACTGACCACATAGACCCATTCTTTCATATGTAGGCCTACCAGCTTTCTCCCACTAGATTTGAGGGCGCTAGAATTTAGGCGTACTAGTACGTCAAAAACCCTGGTGTGTAAGCTGTACTAGTACGGCCGAAACCCCGAAAGGGTTAATAATGGCCTCAGAGTGCAAAAGTAGTGGTGGTGGAAGTTCTTCAAAGCCTAAGAAAAGCCGTGAAGTACTTCCCTTTGGTGAAAAAGTGATAATTCTCCACTTGTTGTGCATAATTTATCAGTTAAATTTTATAATAGGTATGTTCTTTCAACACACCGGCCATATCCCACCGAGGCGGGGTGGCCCAAAAGAAAAAACCAAAGTTTCTCCTTTCAAATTTAGTAATATATACAGGAGAAGGGGTTACTAGCCCCTTGCTCCCGGCATTTTAGTCGCCTCTTACAACATGCATGGCCTACGGAGGAAGAATTCTGTTCCACTTCCCCATGGAGATAAGAGGAAATAAACAAGAACTAGAAAGAAAATAGAAGAAAACCCAGAGGGGTATGTATATATACGTTTGTACATGTATGTGTAGTGTGACGTGAGTGTAAGTAGAAGTAGCAAGACGTACCTGAAATTTTGCATGTTCACGAGACAGAAAAAAGGACACCAGCAATCCTACCATCATGTAAAAACAATTACAGGCTTTCGTTTTACACTCACTTGGCAGGATGGAACAAAATAGGTATGTATGTACATATATATGAAAAAAGACTTATTGTATATATGGGGTTTGCTGCTATCCGTTGCAGGTCCTTGGAACATATCCCCTGCAGATACAGGGGTCCTATTGTACTTTTAGATACTTAGTTTTATTTCAAAATGGGAAGTTCATCTTGTAATGTGTTTGTGCATTATGATTTACTGCAGCGTGAGTGAAGGTTTGAGGGTGCTGCGTCAGGTTCAAATGGAGATGCGCCAAATGGATTCTGCTATGGCAGAAATGGAGACAGCCAGTAACACAAGCAAGCAGGGAGAAGTAGCAGGGGGTGGTATTGCTGTGTAAGTACCTTTGTTGTTTTTCCATTGCATTTAAAAGTAATGCCTATCTACAATATATCAGTAACTTTGGTGTTAGTAGATTGTGAATTTCCCCCATTTAAAAATGCATTTAGCTGCCATAGTCAGTCTTGGTTGTCCATAGAAATGTTACCATCGGTGAAGTGTAGATGTCACTTATTGAGTAGAAGATAAATTTCAAAGAAGAAAATAATTGAGTGGAAGATGAGTTTAAGATAAAAATAAGTAACTTTTACTATATTCAGAAGGAAGTGAGAAACCTATGGGGGCTCTCAGCACCTGGAGCAAGTAGAAAATCAGGTTTGGTCCATGGTAGATGAGAGCAGCTCCAGTTTCTCAGATCAAGAGCCATTAGTATCAAGGCACCTTCCTTGAAGGGCTGTCTATCTAGAAAATTGTACTTATCCTTCCTTTTCTTTGGATCAACCCAAAATTCCTACCATTCCCTAGGTGCTGTATGACCCCCTCATCAAAAAGTTTACAGACCTGCCTAAACATTTTATCTAAGTAATTTTCACTAGATATTGTTAGAACAAAGCTCTCAGTTTGGTAAACTAGCAAAAAGTGGATCTCAGATTATAATTTGCATTCATATGATAATGTGATGAGGGTATCAGACGAGTTAGGTAAAGAAAAATTGGATATCACATTGGAGGGGGAGAGTATTGGAAGTGAATGTGTTCAGATATTTGGGAGTTGATTTGTCAGCAGATGGGTTTATGAAGGACGAGGTTAACCATAAAATTGATGAAGGAAAAAAGATGAGTGGTGCATCGAGGTATCTGTAGACAAAAAATGTCATCCATGGAGGCAAAGAAGGGAATGTACTAGAGTATAGTGGTACCAACACTCTTATATGGGTGTGAAACATGGGTTGTGAATGCTGCAGCGAGGAGGCAGGAGGCAGTAGAGATATCGTGTCTAAGGGTAATGTGTAGTGTAAATATGCAGAGAATTCATAGTGTGGAAATTAAGAGATGTGGAGTTACTAAAAGTATTTTTCACAGGACTGAAAAGAGGTTATTAAGGTAGTTTGGTCATTTAGAGAGGATGGAACAAAATAAGATGACTTCGAGGGTGTATAAATCTGTAGTGGAAGGGAGGAGGGGTAGGGGTCATCCTAGGAAAGGATGGAGGGAGAGGCTAAAAGAGATTTTGTGTGCAAGGGGCATGGACATGCAGCAGGCATGTGTGAGCATGTTAGATAGGAGTGAATGGAGATGAATGGTTTTTGGGACCTGATGAGCTATTAGAATGTGAACAGGGTAATATTTTGTGAAGGTATACAGGAAAACTGGTTAGCTGGACTCGAGTCCTGGAGGTGGGAAATACAGTGCCTGCACTTTAAAGGAGGAGCTTGGCATATTGGCTGTTTGGAGTGACATCTAAACTGTCATATCTGGGTGCCTCTGCAGACACAGTGATTTTGTGAATGATTGCAAAAGTGTTTTTATTTTTTGGGTCATCTTACCCTGGTAGGAGACAGCCGATGTGTTAAAAAAAATAAGTAAATAATTACAAGGACAAGTAGGTTTGTATGTGAAAGATTCATGTATTTGTATTGAACTGTTAAAATCTTAGAATAAAATCCTGGTAATTATCATAATAAACAAACCACTATCGGCAGCCAAGAGCAGAGAAAGTCAGAGACAGATACCAAGAAAATCTTGAAAATCCTACTCCAAATATTATCTAGAAGATTTTAACCCTCACCATGTAAAATTGAAGAGGATAGACTACAGCATTATGCCAGAAATTATACTGGGAAGTGCTCTCACTCACCAGGCTAATACCAGAGAACTAGGACAGTGAAAAGTTTCCACTGAACCAATAGATAATAGAATGTACTAGAAATAAATATTTGCTAGATTTAATCTTTGAATATAATGAACATTTCAGGGATTTAAGCTTCAATGCAACACTGAGATAATAACCATTAAGTGCAATTAAGCATAAATACAGGTGTGGAGAACCCAAGTGTCATCATCAGGGTATGTTTAGTAAATTTAACTTAAGCAGTCAGAGAATTGACTGGGACAGCATAAATAGGGAACTGTCCTTAGCATCTGCTTCCTGGGATGCGTTGTTTCTAAAGAAATGCAAAGTACCATTACCAAGAATTCTTAAGTGTTAAAAAATGTAGATTCAGGTGAAATCAGAGGCCTTAAAAGAAAGAAAGAAAGAAAAAAAAAAAAGCGGAGATGTAGCCTCTTCTCAAAATCACATGCAAGTAGCAATAACATGACATATAAAAGTATTTGAAAGGATTGTGAGATGTCAAATTGCTGACTTCATGGGAAAGTTGAGCTGCACAGGAAGATCTTGCTTATCACAACTTTTAGATCAGTATGACAGTTACAGAGACCTTTAAAGAAAAACAGAATGCTGATGTAATGCATACAGATTTTACTAAAGCATTTGACAAATGTGACCATGATGTAATTGTTCATAAAATGAGTTCAGAGGGTATAACAGGAAATGGATATTAAAAATTTCTAACATCACAAAGGGGAGGAAGTAAACAAAACAAAAAAAAAATCATCCCTCTTGCCTTAATTGTCATGAGGTTCACCCTTCGTACTCTCGCCGTTGTCAAGTCTACTTAAATGAGTGGGAAATGCGTTACCTCAAAGAGGCAGAAGGTCTCCCTTATGCCATGGCCGTTTCTCATCTCCGCCTCCGAGGGAGACTACCTCGTGTTTCTTATTCCCGTGTTTCAAAAAGTCCCCCCACTTCTGGGGTCCCATCTTCTGCAGCCTCCTCTGTGGTTACCTCTCCCATAGTCACTCCTGTAGCTAATTCTTTTGCTGTCCTAGGCTCAGACGTCCCTACTTCAACGCCTCAGTCTGTTCACGCTTCTTCGTGTTCTCCTTCACAAGCCTCAGTATCGACGAGACCTAGTATGACACCACCTCCCAGTTGTCCCTCTACTTCTCAGAAGTCAAAAAAAGGTCCTTTAACCCCTCCTTCCCTACTTCCACCTCCTCATTTTACCTTCCCTGTCTCTGTACCGGGTTCTTCCCCTCTCACTGGCTCTGTTACAAGTGTAGAGGTTCACCCTCCTCCTCGTGCTATACCTGCCTCCCGTTCCCTCCCAGGTTTCTTCCTCTTCTGCTACCTCCCAGGTTTCTGCCTCTTCTACCCCCTTCCATGCTTCTTCTCCAGTTCCCTCCACCCTTTTGCCCCCCCCCCCCTACCTTGGTACAGTCCATTACCATTCCAATCTTTACTCATTCTCCCCCTACCATCTCCAATATTGTCTCCCATACGATGTCTCTGAATTCCGAAACATTTGAAGCAATCTCTGAATATATTACAGAGACCAAACCATCAATGGACACTGATCCACCCTTTGTTCCTTCTCTCTCCTCTCCTCCATCTGCGCAACTCCTTTCTTCACAGCGCACTGTTCCTTCGCTGCTTGAACGTTTTCCGCTGCCTCCGCATGTGGACTTTTCTAACTCCTCTAGTCCGTAGGAACCCTTACCTGCGGATTTCAAGTATCTTTATCATTGCCAATCATGGCTTATTTACAGTGGAATATACGCGGCCTCGGGTAATCGGGGTGAGCTTCAGATGTTACTCTCCCAGTTTTCCCCTGTTGGTGTTTGCTTACAGGAACCAAAATTACATACTGCTGTTGTCTCTCCCATCTCAGGCAATAATTTATTGTATTCTTCAGATCCTTTTCCTGATGGGACCTTTAATGAAAGTGCCCTTCTTCTACGCACTGATATTCCGTACCATCAGCTATTTGTTCGTACTTCGCTGCATTACAAAGCAGCCCGTATCCACTTGCATAGGTGGTATACGCTGTGTTCTTTATATCTCTCTCCTTCTTGGGCATTATCTATTCCGGATATTGCCTTTCTTGTTTCGTCATTACCGCCACCGATTCTGTTACTTGGTGATTTTAATGCCCATCATTTCCTCTGGGGGGGGGATCTCACTGTGATTCCCGTGGCATTCAGTTAGAGGCTTTTCTTGCCACCCGCCCCCTCCATGTTTTAAATACAGGTACTCACACCCATTTTGATCCTCGGACTCTCACTCTCTTGCATCGATCTCTCAGTCTGCTCTTCCTCCGCCACTTTAGACTTCACTTGGTCTGTTCTCCCGGACTTACATGACCGCTATCATTTCCCAATCATTCTTACTTCCCCTTCATATTCACCACCTCTTCGCATCCCACGCTGGCAATTTGATCAGGCAAATTGGAACCTTTACTTACACTTAACTGTTTTTAGAGAGGTTCCTTCTTCGTCCTCCATTGATGAGCTTTTACATCTCTTCTCGTCCTCCGTTTTAACCGCAGCTTCTAATTGTATACCCCAAACTTCGGGCAGGCATTCTCAAAAATGCGTGCCTTGGTGGTCTGCTTGTGCTCGTGCAGTATGTTTGAAACGCGCTGCATGGGGCAGGTACTGGTACAATAGAACCACAGAGAGACTTCTTGATTTTGAGCAGAAGCGTGCGATCGCTCGCCGTGTCATCCGTGACACTAAATGCACTTGTTGGCGAGATTGTCTCCACCATCACCTCTGCTTCCTCTATGAGTGCAGTCTGGAAAAAAGTACGAAAACTGAGTGGTAAATATTCTCCTGACCCGGCTCCTGTTTTGCGGGTTGCCGGTGTTGCTATAGCAAACCCACTAGATGTTGCCAATGAAATTGGCAATCATCTGGTGCGTATTTCTCAGGGACTCCATCTATGCCCCTCGTTTCTTTCCTCAGAGTCTGCCATTGAGTTAGCACCCTTGGACTTTTCTTCTCTCAGAGAAGAACAGTATAATGTGCCTTTTACACTTCAAGAACTGGAGGCAACACTCTCAGCTTGCCGATCATCAGCAGCTGGACCCAACGACATTCATATTCGTATGCTACAACATTTACATCAGTCAGCCCTTGCAGTCCTATTACGCCTTTACAATCTTATTTGGTCACAAGGAGTTCTTCCACAGCTGTGGAAATCTGCCATTGTTCTCCCTTTCCGCAAACCAGGCACTACGGGACATGAATCCTCCCACTATTGTCCCATTGCTCTTACCAGTGCAGTTTGCAAAGTGATGGAATGCCTGGTAAATAGACGTTTAGTGTGGTATTTAGAGACACACAACAGTCTCTCCACTCGTCAATATGGCTTTCGTAAGGGACGTTCTACCATAGACCCCTTACTACGCTTGGATACGTATGTTCGTAATGCCTTTGCGAATAACCACTCAGTTATTGCCATATTTTTTGACCTTGAGAAGGTATATGACACAACTTGTAGGTATAATATTTTAGTTCAAGCCCACTCCTTAGGCCTTCAAGGCAATCTACCATCCTTCCTTAAGAACTTTTTAACTGACAGGCATTTCCGTGTTCAGGTTAATAATGTGCTCTCCCCGGACTTTATCCAAGCTGAAGGTGTCCCCCAGGGATGTGTTCTGAGCACAACACTTTTTCTCCTTGCTATTAATGATTTGGCCTCTAGTCTTCCATCTAATATTTGGTCATCACTCTATGTTGATGACTTCGCTATTGCCTGTGCAGGCGCTGACTGTCACCTCACTACAGTTTCTCTCCAGCATGTGGTCGACTGTGTTTCCAATTGGGCCACCACACATGGGTTTAAATTTTCCAGCACTAATACCCACCAAATTACTTTCACTAGACGCTCTGTCATCTCTGATCATCCTTTGTACCTCTATGGCTCCCGTATCCCTGAACGTGATAGTCAAGTTTCTGGGCCTCCTCTTTGACCGTAGGTTATCCTGGAAACCTCACATTACCTCTCTGAAGGCAACTTGTCACAGCCGGCTGAACCTTCTTAAAACCCTTGCTCATCTTTCATGGGGAGCTGATCGTCGAACCCTCCTTCGCCTACATTTCACCCTCATTTTATCGAAACTTGATTATGGTGACCAGATCTATTCAGCGGCATCTCCTGCTACTCTCTCTAGCCTTAACCCCATTCATCACCAAGGATTACATTTATGCCTTGGTGCTTTTTGCTCTTCCCCTGTCGAGAGCCTCTATGCAGAAGCGAACGTTCCATCCTAATCCGATCGCCGTGATGCCCATTGCCTTCGCTACTATGTACGCTCTCATGATCTCTGCAATCCTTCCATTTATAGAATGGTCACTGATAGTAGACATTCTTTATTTGTTCGCCGCCCGTTTACTCCGTCCCTTCTCTCTTCGCCTTCATTCGCTCTTGTCTTCTCTTTAATTGCCACCTTTCTATGTTCATGTAGCATCTCACTTTTCCCTACCCCCTTGGGAAGTTCCAGCTGTTCGAGTCTGTTCTTTCTCTCTCCCTTGCTCGAAAGCCCAACTGTCTACGGTCGCTTCCCGCTCTCTCTTTCTTGACCACTTCCACTCTCATTCTCATGCCATTGCTGTGTACACAGATGACTCTAAGTGTTCTGACGGTGTAGGATTCGCAGCAGTGTTTCCGGACAGCGTCGTACGAGGGCATTTACTATCTTCGGTTAGTATTTTTACTGCTGAATTGTATGCCATCCTTGCAGCACTTATCCGTATTGCATCTATGCCTGTGTCATCATTTGTGGTTGTCTCAGACTCCCTTAGTGCTTTACAGGCTATACAGAAATTTGATACGCCTCACCCCTTAGTGCTCCGTATCCAACTTTGGCTACGCCGCATCTTACCAAGCATAAAGATATTTTTTTTGTTGGGTCCCTGGTCATGTTGACGTACAGGGCAATGAACAGGCAGACACTGCTGTGCGGTCAGCAGTACATGACTACCAGTTTCATATAGAGGTATTCCATTTACGGACTATTTTGCTGCAATGTCTTCCCACCTTCACACCCGTTGGCAACAACGTTGGTCTACTATGCTCGGCAACAAACTTCATTAAACCGAGTATAGGTTACTGGCCGTCTTCTTATCACCAGTGTCGAGGTTGGGAGACTACTCTCTCCCGTCTTTGCATTGGCCATCCTCTCTCTGAGAATTGCCAAGCTCCATTATCAGTCAGCCACATTCTGTTGGACTGCCCACTTTATCAACGAGCACGCAGAATTTACCTCCGTCGTCGTCTTCGCTCCGCTGCTCTCTCTTTACCTTCCCTTCTCGCTGATGGACCCACCTTTCATCCAGACTCTCTCATTGACTTTTTGACAACAACTGACTTACTTCACAAATTCTGATACCTTCAGCCCTTTCTACTTCAATCTCTTGCTACCCTCTACCCCCGTACTATCCCCTGCCCCGCTGTTTTCTATAACCTACTGATCATCCCTCCTCCCTTCTGCCACCCAATACCCTCGCTTCCTTCCCTACCCTGCAGTGCTGTATAGCCCTTGTGGCTTAGCGCTTTTTTGATTATAATAATAATAATAATTGGATCAGCCAGTTTGTGCTGGCTATGTGAACTTAAAGGTTGCAGTGACAAACAGCCTGGTTGACAAGTCACAGGCTAAGCCTGTACTAAATTTTGGAGTAAGGGTATACAAAAGTATGTCTAATAATAGTCTTATGGCAGATACCCAGTTTAACATTAAAAAAAATGAATTTGTATTTTTTTATGCAGGGTTGAATCACGACGAGAAAAGCGAAGTAACCAAGAAAAGTCTAGCCCACCTATGAATGGAACTACAAATAGCACCAATCAATCCATGGTTGCTAATTATCAAGGGTACCAGCAGTCAGGATATGGAGGTTACAACCAGGGATATACACATGGCTATGGTGCATCACATTATCAAGGATGGGGATACCCTACACAGCAAGGAGGATATGGATATGGTCAGCAAGGCTGGGGAACATATGGAAATTATTATGGTCAGAGATAAAAATATGAAGGATCAGTGTATGTTTTTCTTGTTCATTTTTCTTAAATTTAAAGCTAGTTTATTTGTTAAGGTTTGGTACACTTAGTGAAGTGACAGTTTCCTGTGTTCCTGCATAACTAGTCAGGAATATGTACATTATTTAATTTACCACTTGTTTGATTAACATTGTGCCAGTGGTGTTTGAAAGTGGGTATAAAGTTAGCAGTGTGTTGAATTTTGTGTACCTACATTTTAAAGATCAGTGCTGAACAACAAAAGTGAAAGCTCATGTGTTTTGATGTCTTGCAAGAAACTAAGCAGTGAAATTTTAGAGGCCTCTACTCTGAAGGAATGCTGCAGCTTTATACATTTTTTTTCTAGTTATTAATGTGTATCTGCTTTAATTATTGATTTATAAGTGAATTAGTGTGAATGTATTGTAATATAATACAAGCTTAGGAAGTTATAAAGTGCACATTTAACATTATTCAATTTTATAGTTTTTGCTGATAAATATGTACATGCTTTTAAGTAAAATCAAAGTGTATATTCATTTTTTTTAAGGTAAATTTCACTGAATGCAAAAATAACCTTTATCATCTGAATGGTCATTAGCTCAAAATACATATTTAACTGACCAATACAATGTACATGCATTCTTGTGTACATACAAAATACTGGTACAGTAGTTATAAAATGGAACTGATTTATTATTTTGTAAGGGGCAAGTGAATTTGTGTTTAAATGTGTGCTTGGGGGCCAATATATGTAAATGTTAAGCAGTATTTAATATTAAATGTCAATATTTTTGTTGATTATCATGTACATTGAGTTGACACTGATAGCTTAGCAACTGCAGAGAGTCAGGACCTCATTATGTTACACCTACATAAGGTGACCAGCCCTCTAAACTTGTACAAGAATTTCAGTTTGGAAATATTTGTTGCTTTACATTTATTGTACCAGACAGTTGTATATACTTTAGACTTTGTATTCATAGTTTCGGAAGTGTTTGAACAGTGTGCACTAATAATGAATGGGTAAGTAGTTACATGGCTGCTAGTAAGAGTCTCATGATCCAAGCAGTTTTTCACAGGTTATGTTTCTGTTGGACAATTGGTTATGCTATAGTGTGACCAGCTGCTGATAACTAGTCATTGCCAACCCGATGTCCTGACTACCTGCTTTGATCGTGTGTATATTTCCAGCCACTATTCACAGTTGCTTCAAATTCGTGCTTGAATTTGAGGTATTTATTATTGTAAATATTTCATGGAATTCAGACTAATGATAGGGTTTGTTTTGCCTCAACACAGAAGTTGGCAGTACTGTGATTACTGTGTCTTGTGCTAGATAATGAAGTTCAAACCTTGGCATGTCCTGTTTAAATTTTTTTAATGTATGAGACATTGCATAAGTCACCTCGGTCCCAAGGAATTCTGTTAATGGCCTAAGTAAGCCCATATTTTCTTGCTGGGGTTTTAAACTATAGTGGTAGTAAAACTTGTAGCAACAAGTTGAAACTTACTTGTATTAGAACCTATTTTCTTATAATTGAGATGATGTCATGTTGAATTTAATAAATGTGATTCATATTAAAATATTGTAGTAACTAGTCAATGTTGGGAATTAGACATGCAACACTCAATGAGTAGTACAGTAATACTTATGCACAGTACTTGTAAATAATTACATTGAAAATAAACTACTTTTGCATATTTTACGTATTTTAGATATTTTAACAATCTCCACATTCTAGTAAAATGTTACTTCATATTCTGTAGCTTTAACCCATCTTGCTACTCTTACAGGTTGGACATGAGTGCACAAGATCTGTTAAATGGCATAATTGTTAAGAATAACCTTTGTCCAAATGCCCATTGTTTGGAATGTTTCATTGAATACTGCAATTTTCATGAACTAAACTAAAAACTTGCAAATAGTTTAGTACATTGCATAATATGAAGTATAACCAGCATATCTTGTCTTGTGTGTTGATGTCTATCTTAAAAAAAGGTGATAATTAACTGCTTAATATATTTGTTTTAGCAAACATAAGAATGTGTGAAATGTATGGAGTTGTGGAGGATAAAACGTGCTATGTGCATAATGCTACTGGTAAGCAATTATACTTGCTTACCTGTGATGCAAGTGGTTTCCTACCATACACAGGTGCAGGTATTTGATATTTAAGCTAATTCTTCAACCTTTCAAGGGAGTTTTCTTGATGCCAGTAAAGGGCTCTTCATTCAAGGAATTGGAATGGCCTTTTCCTTGAATTGAACCTGATTAAGTCCCACTACTCAAGGTGGTGTATGACCCTTACAGGTTTAGTGCATCCCCATGAAAGTGTAATAATAATGTAATTCTGCATTATAGAATAAATAAGGACTTCCATGATTGTGATCCATACTTTATTCACCTTAACTGGTGGAACAGTAATTTGTTTTTCCTTTCTGCAGAGATGACTTTGCATTAAAAAAATCTAGATACTCTAAACCCTACCAGTTCATTTAACACTTCATGGCATGTACTTTGCAGTTAAAATTAAATGTTTGAGAAGAGAAGTATTAATACTGCTTGGGAGGTATTCAGGCTTGATTCAAAGGGGAGGTGAAATCCAGTTCCTGGGGTCAAGAAGCCCCTTCCCAGCATCAAGGCACCTTTGTGAGGGGTTATCCGGTATAGTCTAGCACTACAACACTGACCCACATCATTCTGGCACCTATTTTTAATATCATAGTTTTGAGGCTTTGGGCCTCCCCACAATTTGCACTAGAGGGGGACCCTATCTATATACAAAATACAGTTAGCACAAAACTTCACACTTAGGCCACACCATTTTATTAGCACAGAATACCTCTTACAGGGGCCCACAAAGCTAGGAATGAATCTGGCAAACTAAGACTTTGCCAAAGCAACTACACACAGGCAAGTATAGGTTTAGGTCCCTTGTCAATTTTGATTCCCTTAGCACTTTTCCCTTCCCTTCACATGTCTTTTGTCATTTAGCAATGTATGACTTCTATGGGTTTATTATATATACAGTGGACCCCCGGTTAACGAACTTTTTTAATTCCAGTAGTATGTTCAGGTGCCAGTACTGACCGAATTTTTTCCCATAAGGAATATTGTGAAGTAGATTAGTCCATTTCAGACCCCGAAACATACACGTACAAACGCACTTACATAAATACACTTACATAATTGGTTGCATTTGGAGGTGATCGTTAAGCGGGGGTCCACTGTATATTATAGTATATTTATTATATTTATTATTTATTATTATTATAATCAAAAAGCACTAAGCCACAAGGGCTATACAGCGCTGCAGGGCAGGAAGGAAGCAAGGGCATCAGGTGGCAAAAGGGAGATGGACGAGTAATAGGTTACGGATAACAGCGGGGCAGTGGATGGTGAAAAGGTAAAAGGCAGCAAGAGACTGAGCTAGAAAGGGCTGACGGGAGAGCAAAAGGTATCATCATCAGAGTTTGTGGAGTAAATCAGTCGTTGTCAAGAAGTCAATGAGAGAGTCAGGATTAAAGGAGGGTCCATCAGCAAGAAGGGAAGGTAAAGAGAGAGTAGTAGAACGAAGACGACGGAGGTAAATTCTGCAGTCTAACAGAATGTGGCTAATCGATATTGGAACTTGACACTGCTCAGAGAGAAACAGGGTGCCTCCATGAGATACCCATGAGTAAGACGAGTGTGGCCAATATGAAGGCGGGAGAGAGTGGTCTCCCAACCTTGGCACTGATGACGAGATGACGACGACGGCCAGTAACCTATGCTCGGTTTAATAGAATGAAGTTTGTTACCAAGCAGAGTTGACCAAAGTTGCCAACGGGTGTGAAGGCGAGTAGCTCTTGCAGCAAAATAGTCCAGAAATGGAACACCTCTATAGGAAATTGGTAGGTCATGCACTGCTGACCACGCAGCAGTGTCTGCCTGTTCATTGCCCTGTACGTCGACATGACCAGGGACCCAACAAAAATCAATATCTTTGTTTGGTAGAGATACGGCGTAGCCAAAGTTGGATACGGAGAACTAGGGGGCGAGATGTTTCAAATTTTCGTACAGCCTGTAGAGCACTAAGGGAGTCTGAGACTACCAAAAAGGATGACACAGGCATAGATGCGATACGAATAAGTGCTGCAAGAATGGCATACAATTCAGCAGTAAAAATGCTAGCCGAAGATAGTAAATGCCCCCGCACGACGCTGTCCGGAAACACTGCTGCGAATCCGACGCCGTCTGAAGACTTGGAGCCATCTGTGTACACAGAGATGGCATGAGAATGAGAGTGGAAGTGATCAAGAAAAAGCGAGCGGGAAGCCACCGTAGGCAGTTGGGCTTTCGAGCAAGGGAGGGAGAAAGAACACTAACAGCTGGAACTTCACAGGGGGGTAGGGAAAAGTGAGATGCTACATGTACATAGAAAGGTGGTAGTTGAAGAGAAGACAAGAGCGAATGAAGGCGAAGAGAGAAGGGACGGAGTAAACAGGGGCGGCGAACAAATAATGTCTACTGATATCAGTGACCATTCTATAAATGGAAGGATTGCGGAGATCACGAGAGCGTACATAGTAGCGCAGGCAATGGGCATCACGGCGATCGGATAAGGATGGAACGTTCGCTTCTGTATAGAGGCTCTCGACAGGGGAAGAGCGAAAAGCACCAAGGCATAAACGTAATCCTTGGTGATGAATGGGGTTAAGGCTAGAGAGAGTAGCAGGAGATGCCGCTGAATAGATCTGGTCACCATAATCAAGTTTCGATAAAATAAGGGTGGAATGTAGGCGGAGGAGGGTTCGACGATCAGCTCCCCATGAAAGATGAGCAAGGGTTTTAAGAAGGTTCAGCCGGCTGTGACAAGTTGCCTTCAGAGAGGTAATGTGAGGTTTCCAGGATTACCTACGATCAAAGAGGAGGCCCAGAAACTCGACTATCACGTTCAGGGATACGGGAGCCATAGAGGTACAAAGGATGATCGGAGATGACAGAGCGTCTAGTGAAAGTAATTTGGTGGGTTTTAGTGCTAGAAAATTTAAACCCACGTGTGGTGGCCCAATTGGAAACACGGTCGACTGCATGTTGGAGAGAAACTGTAATGAGGTGACAGTCAGCGCCTGCGCAGGCAATAGCTAAGTCATCAACATAGAGTGATGACCAAATATTTGATGGAAGACTAGAGGCCAAATCATTAATAGCAAGGAGAAAAAGTGTTGTGCTCAGAACACATCCCTGGGGGACACCTTCAGCTTGGATAAAGTCCGGGGAGAGCACATTATTAACCCGAACACGGAAATGCCTGTCAGTTAAAAAGTTCTTAAGGAAGGATGGTAGATTGCCTCGAAGGCCTAAGGAGTGGGCTTGGGCTAAAATAATATACCTCCAAGTTGTGTCATATGCCTTCTCAAGGTCAAAAAATATGGCAATAACTGAGTGGTTATTCGCAAAGGCATTACGAACATACGTATCCAAGCGTAGTAAGGGGTCTATGGTAGAACGTCCCTTATGAAAGCCATATTGACGAGTGGAGAGACTGTTGTGTGTCTCTAAATATCACACTAAACGTCTATTTACTAGGCGTTCCATTACTTTGCAAACTGCACTGGTAAGAGCAATGGGACGATAGTGGGAGGTTTCATGTCCCGTAGTGCCTGGTTTGCGGAAAGGGAGAACAATGGCGGATTTCCACAGCTGTGGAAGAACTCCTTGTAACCAAATAAGATTGTAAAGGCGTAATAGGACTGCAAGGGCTGACTGATGTAAATGTTGTAGCATACGAATATGAATGTCGTCGGGCCCAGCTGCCGATGATCGGCAAGCTGAGAGTGTTGCCTCCAGTTCTTGAAGTGTAAAAGGCACATTATACTGTTCTTCTTTGAGAGAAGAAAAGTCCAAGGGTGCTAACTCTCTGGCAGACTTTGAGGAAAGAAATGAGGGCATAGATGGAGTCCCTGAGAAATACGGACCAGATGATTGCCAATTTCATTGGCAAATCTAGTGGGTTTGCTATATCAACACCGGCAACCCGCAGAACAGGAGCGGGTCCGGAGAGAATATTTACCACTCAGTTTTCGTACTTTTTTCCAGACTGCACTCATAGAGGAAGCAGAGGTGATGGTGGAGACATAATCTCGCCAGCAAGTGCGTTTAGCGTCACGGATGACACGGCGAGCGATCGCACGCTTGTTTAAAATCAAGGAGTCTCTCTGTGGTTCTATTGTACCAGTACCTGCCCCATGCAGCGCGTTTCAAACATACTGCACGAGCACAAGCAGGAGACCACCAAGGCACGCATTTCTGAGAATGCCTGCCCGATGTTTGGGGTATAGAATGAGAAGCTGCGCTTAAAACGGAGGATGAGAAGAGGTGTAAAAGCTCATCGATGGAGGACGAAGAAGGAACCTCTAAAAACAGGTGTGAGTAAAGGTTCCAATTTGCCCGATCAAATTGCCAGCATGGGATGCGAAGAGGTGGTGAATATGAAGGGGAAGTAAGAATGATTGGGAAATGATCGCTGTCATGCAAGTCCGGGAGAACAGATCAAGTGAAGTCTAATGCGGCGGAGGAAGAGCAGACTGAGAGATCGATGCAAGAGAGAGTGTGAGTCCGAGGATCAAAATGGGTGTGAGTACCTGTATTTAAAACATGGTGGGGGTGGGTGGCAAGAAAAGCCTCTAACTGAATTCCACGGGAATCACAGTGAGAC